GTAAAAGAGAAAAAGGTCACTTATTACCTGGGAAAGAACCCATCCTGTATTATAATGCTTATGTGGAAGTTTCATATACGTATCTAGTGCCTCCTGAAACACCCAGAAGCACAAGGAAGACAATGAAATAATCAGTGAACATGACCTTTGTATTATTTAAGAAAGCAACAATATGCTTACCTTACACCTGTACATGTACGAAAGTCTACACCCTTCCCCGAGTGTCCTTAGGAGGCTAAATAATTCTGAAACACCAACTGTGATTTTTTGTAAACTTAACGTTGTGCCACCAATCGACATTGTTTCGTCTTCTTGATCATAGGATTTAGCATCAGTGGAAGCCATAGAACCAGTCGTTGAGGCAGTATTAGGCCTTGAATCATCAAAAGGTTCCCCACGAACTCCTAAACCAATCAGAATGACAAGGCCTATGGTGTTACATATACGCAAACAATAAAAAAAGGAATGATGAACCAAAATCACAGCAACCCAGAAATCAAAAAATATGATGATATAGTGCATGAAATGTCACAACCTTCATCAATGTTTTCATTTGCCCAAGAATGTCCCTTCCGAAGTGTTACAGAACGAAGTGCCAAAGAACTCAATTTAGAACCCCCTAAATACTTGGAAGCGTTGTTCCCATTCCCGCTTACTGTTGCAACACTTGCATTAGTGTTTGCCCCAGAATCAGCAGACAGCCTCGAACTACGTCGTGGACCAGAATCAGAAAAAAGCCTGCCCGAAATCTGCAGAGGAAAGAAACATACACTCACAGTAAGACAAAATTCAACCACGTAAGAATCAGAATATTAAAGAGAAAAGTAAAGACAAACTACTCAGAATTGTGTCTTAATGACAACGAGTAGACCAGTAAAGACATGTGAATACTACCTTACGTAGCTTTCCTTCATCTACAAATTTTCTTCTGGGTGCTTGTATGGTAGAGTTTACTGTGGACTTTGGCGAATTGTCAGTAACAAGGGAGTTCTGGTTTGGAACAGCCGGCTGAAAATTCCGGAAAAGTGGTGGTGGAGCCAAACCGGATAGCTACAATTTGAAAAATGTAAAAATCTCACAGCTGCTCGTTATAGATAAGTAATGCTTCTGACCACAACAATGCTTCTCAAGTGGAAACATAAGATTCTTCAGATAAGTAAAAATCTAGCGTGCCAAATCAAAGACATTAAAAACAGACTCAGAACTGATAGTCAATAAAAGATTAGTCAAACAATTATTGGCACTGGAGAATGGAGATAGAAAATAAGCGATGCAAGCTGATAGCGAAAAAGAAAACAGTGGTAAACACAAAGGGCGATAATTTAGGGATTTGGTATTGAGTGATTGTTGAAGTTTCCATTTATTTGATATTTTCTTCTTCTTAAATAAGTCTCGTGAGAGACAGAACGCAAGCAATTTAGTTCTTAGTTTTAATTTTTCCGAGGGGCGTGAGATAATTCTTAGTTCTTAACAAAGCTATTGTTTTTCTATCTTTCGGTTCTTTACTCTATCACAAGCACTATAAAACCCATGATGCATTGATTTCCGAAGTACTGAAAGAAGGTGTGATCACGAGACTGAAACATCACAGTTGTTCACATTAAAAGAAGGATGGCATTACCTGTGCAGCCACTGGCGAAGGAGTATTATAGAATGTCATATTCGAAACAGCTCCGTTAAGACCATGAGAATGGAAATTTCCAGAGATATCTTTAAGGCCATGGCCTTGTGTGTGTTTGGACTGCCTTGGACTATAATCTTCAGTACTCGTGTTTTTAGTAGAAGTCAAATTACGTTCTTCATTGTATGTGTTTAAGCCGAGGGAAGTTGACAGTTGTTGCATGTACTGTTTTTGGATGGAGAGAGCAGCTGATTCACCGAAAACTACAGTTGCTTCCTCAGCAGCACCTGAAAAAGTAGGACGACCAGAAAAATGTAAGAAAACCATAACAAACGTACTAAGTATGCAGAAAAAGGTACTCTATTCACCTAGTATACATAACTCCTCATATGCGGCCCAAAGTAGAGGATCTATTATCAAAGACTGCTTAAATTGCTGGGCAGCATTCTTCTTTCTATCAGTATACCTGAAAGGTCACTATCATAAATGAGAAATCATCTCGAGGAAAACATTCAGAGTCAAGACAAAAAGGCACAGAGAAAACATCAAAACAAGAAACGAACTTGTAAATAAGTCCAAGAAGGTAATGACCAGCTGCACCATTTGGGATCTGCAGAATAACCAGAAGCTATGTAATCATCTTCTTACGTGAGCTAAATCAACATAAAAGGTCCAGATACTGGCACACTGAGTTTGTAAGAAGACATTCAGTAAGCGAGCGAATAAAGGCAATCTACCAGAGATCACTAAATACCTCCGCACCAGGTTCATTAACAGGGCAGAGTGCAGTTTCAGCTTCATTGAGAAGGTCCATCTGGAAGCATGATAACGCGAACAAGTACCGGGACTGAGCCATTTGTGTTCCTTTTTACATAATATCGAAACAAGAAACAAATATGAGCATAACAACCTAACATAAGAAGGCGCAAGATTCTGACTTTAGACAAATTTGGTAAAAGGCTCATAAGCAAGAAACCAAGCCACGCACCCTTTAACAGATGATATGCACTGTAAGCTTGATTATTCTGCAGGTAGCTGGTTGCTAGTAGCTGCAAATTAACCTATATAAAAGCAAAAACACAAAGTGATTAAAGGCTTGTCTTTTATTGATATGCTTTCTCTTAACTGAAGCTAACAGTTAGACAACTGCAACAAATGTTGGATTGAGCCAGACCAACTGCTATTTCTAACTGTTATTGAAGCTGTACCAACCCAAATTTCTACATATTTTCTGGTATGACCAGAGATTTTCTCTAACAGTTGGACACATAGCTAAAGGTCCAAGGATAACAAAAACTTATAGTTGGAACACAAAGTAGATGGAAAGAAAAAAGTCAAAAACTTTTGGAGTAATCTAAAGAAAGAAGCAACCCTCGTTCAGCAATTGGTCAAAGATAGAACATGACCAGATCAGTACTGAGCAAGGCTACTGGGGAAAACAAAATCGAATTAAATTGAAAGAGTAAACAACGAATTCTTCCCCTGATTGACCCAAGAAGCAACATATAGATCTTGGAGAAAAGGGCTAAAAAGGTAAGAAACCAAAATCAATCTCGAAGAACTCAGGGAGGCGATTAAATTCCACGTACAAAAGTAGAAAAAGGAGATGCATATACTAAAGTTTCAGAGATACCCAGACGCAATAAACCAAAATCTCTAAATTTCACAACCCCAACAGCTTCGATTTACAGAATTTATAGAAGGAGAAAAGAGAGTGAAACAAGAGGTACCTCAGAAGGAAACTCGGCGCAGAGACGCTCGCACATGAAAATAGCATTCTTGTACACAAAATGACGAAGACTGTTCTGTACACAGTCCACAAGCATAGCTTCCATGGTTGTCTTCCTCGAGAGAAAGAGAAAGAGAAAGAGAAAGAGAAAGAGAGAGAAAGGGTTTTCTGTTTTTCTGGATTTTTTTTTTACCCTTTAGGATTTTTTGGAAGTCGTAATTTCAAATTTTAAGGTGGCACGTGCGATGCTCTGTTTTCAAACTATTCGGCACGTGACAGATCAGTAGCCATTTTTTTCAAAAAAAAATTATGGCCTCAGTCTCTGTTGAGTTAGTGTTGGGTTTAGTCGGTTATTGGGCTTTAGCGCTTTTACAGTTAGCCCAATTATTTATAATGGTAAAAATGTTTCAACGGTTACTTCTCCTTGAAGCACTAAAAAGAAGAAGAGAAATTAGGTCATCTAAAGCTAATTAGCTTGCTTTTTTGGTCAAAAATGATGATATAAAAGTTTTAGTTAGCGAGTTCTTGATGATGTTAAGAAGAGCATATTTGGTTGACCGCGAGACTGGTGTTTTTATGATTCATACTAAAAATATGCAGCACCACTAATGATACAAATACTGTTAATATATATTTTTTTAATACTGTTAATATTGATGCTTGAGATGCTTTCGAGCTTTGATTTTTGTCAAGAAATGAATAATATCGATTGAAAGACTTGCGTCTTACAGGACCTATAAATGTTTATATTTATTACTACAAGAAAGAATCCTAAAAGAGAAATAGTCAAATCAATTAACGCAAGTTTTTTTGTCTTTTTTTTTTTAAAACATCGGTTTTTTCTGTTAAAAATAATTCAACCAAACTGTAAAATATAAATAATCACTAAAGTTTAAAAACTCTTGATTTAATGTGAATCAAAAATGTAAAAGATCATTAAAACGAAAACAAAAATATTTGGTTAAAACATCAACACGGAAGAAATAAATTTATGAAGTGAATGGTACTAGTTTGAATTTGTAAGGATGAACTTACTAGCTTCTTTATTATTGGCACCAATTGTTTAATACTAAACTAATGTTTATATAAAGTCTTAAAGAATGACCAAAAGCTACAATTGATAGCATGGATTGTAAGGATAACTCTTTGTTAATTGTGACCAAGTTACAAATGAAAATGTTTTTCTTTGTCTAGTTCAAGATTATGACGATTTGTGTTTACGATATAGCAAAATGTCTGAGCCATAAACATCATTTTGTCGTTTGGACAAAGAATTACATGTTCATGATTCTAATGGTATATCTGTGTTACTAGTTGTCATTTTTTTTTCTGTCGTTGTTTGTGCGTTTGACTTTAAAATAAAATGAATAACTAAACTATATAGAATGTTAACGTACAATTGTTTATATTTTTCTCAGCTTATTAAAATTTCAATAAATATTTGAGGGGTTGCTATGAAATATTCAATCAGAGAACAAGAACGCTTCACATAATATAAATGTTACGAGTCTGAACAGATACTTCTCACTGAAGCACCAAAAGGAGAAATTAACCTGCTTTTTTTGTGGGTTCTTGATGATGTTGAATATTCGTTTCACAATCCTCGAAGCAATTTTGAAATTGTCAATTGAAATAAGAGAAAGGACCAAAAAAACAAAGATATTAATTAACCGAATATAACAGTTGATAACATGTAACAAAGACCTACACGCTTTAATTAGTACAAAATGAAGAACGTTTTCACTAAACATTTTCTACTTTCTTGTACAAGTAATTTATCAACACAAAGAAAACCCATATACCAACCAAATCGGTAATCGCCTTATCAAAGTATTATACCACATTTCAAACTGAACCGGCGGCGTATCGCCCCACTTAAACCGAGTTTTGTACCAATGTACAGCTTTAGGTCATTTTCAAGTTAGCTTCCTCGGCAAGTTATACGTCTTCTTCAGAAACTTAGTGGCAGATTCTTCGTAACGGTAACACAAAACTCTCAACAGTGTGTTTGGTTCTGTCGGACTCCACGGACCAGAAGTCGGTGGTAACGGAAGCTTCCCTCTGTCTGAACCATGATTCTCCAGGCAAACCGCTTTAAACCGTTCAATCAGAGACTCAGTGTCCGTACGCAGAAGAGGAAGTATACTCTTGACCGTCGTCGAAACCTTCTCGATCAAATCCAAAGGCAATCCATCTCCGTTTGACCAGAAAAGATCGCACAGAAACTTGAAATCCTCATCAACCACAGCGGAATCTTGAACCGTGAAGCAACGCGATGGTCCACCTGCGAGGATGACCAATAAGAACCCATCGAAAGAAGCTCTCATGATGTCTGAAATGACTCTGGTTCGGACTCTATCGTGAACTGATGATGAGATTATCTCAAGGCACCGTTCAAGCTCTTGAAGAAACGGTTCAATCCTCGAGGAAGATGCTTCTCCGACGTACAGACCGTCCCAGAGAACGTTGCTCAGATCGTGGAATACGATTTTGTAAGCAGTTGCTTCAGACAATTGCTGTATTCCTTTCGAGCAATAACCGATGGATTGTTCAAAGATTTTAGCTTTACCATCCAAAGCCGCTATTTCGGATTCCGGGAGACGGTTTAATGTTTTTCTTCCGGATGATTCCATCTCCGTCCTGATATAATGCAGAGTGTTGATTCTGCAACAGAACTGAAGTATTTCCCCTGAGTCATTACTCTGTGATTTTCTCCTGTGATGAGAAGCTACCATTGGCTTCTCCTTCTTCTTGAAGACACCGTGTAGTCTCGACCCGACTGTGCATCTTGTTAAGGCGGGTAAAGCGGGTAGAAACGTGTTCCGCGAGCCTAATGGAGACCATAAAAGAAAAAACAAAAACTCTATAAGTGAGATCAGGAAAGCACGAACTTCATCATTTCACAAACCAGAGAATCTGCATACCGCATGAAGATTTCGCCTTTGATACATAATGCTGCATACACTTGTCGAGACCCGAGGTTAGCTCGGGGAGTAAAACTGGATGCATAAGTATCGGCAACAAGAAAAACGCTTCCAATGTCTCATCTATCATCCTCAGTACATCCACAGAAGAAGGAGCAATACCAAGTTTATTCGATCTCGGATTCCATACCTGCAGATAGAAAACCAATCAACATACGTAACTCTTTAAAGAACCCACAAAAAATGAAGGGGAAAGATTGTTAAAGTCGTTAGGTACCTCTTGCTGGAGATTACGATCAATCCACTCCTTCAGTCTATCGACTCGGGTCTTGATCCATGATTTCACAAGGTTGCCAATAGCGACTTCCGCTTCAAAAGGAGGCATCTCTCTTATAACGGATTTTCCGCCATCTTCACTATCTACTGCGTCTTGAACTGCAATCTGCACCAGATCCTTCTCAAGCTTATCTGCAGCAGTGAGTACTCTTATAGCATCCGGTGTCAACTCGGTAATACTCGAAACGAATTTCTTTAACTCGGTTCCATAGCACGTATGAAGCGTAGCTGCAGCCACACCAGCTGCAAGAGGATGCCAGTTCTTTAAGATTGGACTAAATATCGCCTTCTCGTTGAAAGCCAAATGACCAATATCCTCTGCAAGAATCGCAAGAACCGGAAGATTGCTCGTGCCCTGACGGGATTTTGACCGCTTGCTATGTTCCACCATCCTCTTTGTCTGTGACAAACAAAACCAATAGAAAAGAAACCTTACATGAATCACTGCAGACACGTAGATCAACCTAAAGAGAACATAAGTGTGTAAGCAAACCTGCGAAAAGGCCATACGCAACGAAGATCTGATATAGGTATCAACTCGATCAAGCCCTGTATCGACATTCTTTTTCTTCCTTCTATACTCGCTAGAACTATCTTCGGCTAGTACTTTAGCAACCGAAATCCCCAAAGAAACCGTTGTTTCAAGCGTCTCGACGTTATCAATGTTGAAAGTATCATGGTAAGCAAGAAGTCTCTTCTCAGCCCAATCCATGATTAAACTCAAAACAGAACTCGAGATCTTCGAGTACTCGGGATCATTGGTCTCCTTTGCGTCGTTCTCAACTTCGAGTATCAAGTGATGAGCAGCTACAAGCAAGTCATTCTCCACTTGACCAGTTGTGACATACCGATTAAACAACACCCAGAGAAAGCAAACGTTGTGAATCATCTGGTTCATACCCAAGACAGGCCATGTTTTCTTTATAAGCTCTAAAACTTCATCTACTTCTTCAACAACCGACAACTCGTCGTTAACATCAAAACAAGACTCCAAAAGCATTTGATAGATTCTAAGATTCAGGGGAAACCCGTCAGCCCAATGACAAGTCTCGGAACCGTTCACATTGTTGTTGTTCGAACGACTAGCAAGAGACATTACTAGACTCCTAAGGTTCTGTGTCTCTCCCGTGATCTTCCCGGTATCTAACGGCCTCTCGAGACCCGACCGGATGATTTGCTTAAGCTGTTGCACAGATTTATCGGATTTACTTAAAGGAACATAAGGATGTAAGATCAAACCGGCTTCGAGAAGCTTCAAGTTTCTTCTCTGCCATGATTCATACTCTTCCTGATCTGGAAAATCTGTGGCTTTGAGCTGTTGCAGAAGCTCGAGAGGTAGAACCATAGTCTCCACGCGTCTCCCAAGCTAATCAAAATGACAAATTTCAAAGCTCAATTTTACTAAAAACAACTTGAAAGTCTGTAATTAACGATCATGAAGCTTGGATTCAAGCAGATCTTCTTCATAAAACCCAAATTGTTGCTCTTTTGAGCGAGAAAAATCCTGCGTTTTTCATTTTCTTGGGGAAAAAAACTGCAAATGAGAAACGTACCTGACCAGAAGCGATCCTGAGAAGTGCTCTTCGAATCCTTGAATCGATCTGCTCCGAAATCCGCATCTGTACACGAACTAACTCACCAACCGTGACGGATTTCTTGATCCGATCCGGTTCAGCCGAAGATTCTCCTGCTCCGCCGCTTCGTTTCTTCATCCCTAACGCCTTCTTCACCTTACTCGCCGCGGTCGACGTCAAGGATCTATGAAGCGACGGTGATGGCGATAGCGCCGTCGTCGTCGCGCCGTTGCTACGGTCGGACTTGGGTGATTGCGGGATGTAAGTCAACGGACGACTTCCGGTGCTCCGGCAAGCTGCGACTAAGATCTCGTAAGCTGTTTCTCGGAGCTCCGAATCCGATAAATTTGGGGCTGGGTCGCCGAATGGAGAAGGTAGAGATTCTTCCATTGCACTTGAAATTAAGCAAAATCGAAACTTTTGGATCGAAGTTAAAAGGGAGAAGCTAAAACTCAAAACCCTTCTTCGGATTTAAGCACAGTACCAAAAATTGATTCTCTCTTGTATTAAAAACTTAAATTACTTTTTTTCGGGATTATTTGGATAAACTCAACTCGAAATCAAAAAGCAAAAAAAAAAAACGATAAGAGAATTTTTCGGGAAGGATCAGATCAAAGTGGTGATGCAATCATTGATTCATCACCAAATGCCCAAAGAACCAACAAAACAGTACAAAACTTTTTGTTGTTTTTAAAAAATAATAAAGAAGATGAAGAATTTGGGTTCCGCAGATAATGATTCTTGCTTGAGGTTAAAGAATGAATGATTTGGAAAGGAACAAAACGAAAAAGACAAAAGTAAAACCAAGCGACAAGAAAAAAAAAATGAAAGAGAAGACTAGAGACAGGTGTTTTCTTCGGTAATCGGTACCAAACGCATGTATACAGACATACAGAGAGATATGAATGTATGTTTGAGAGGCAGGTGACTTTATTTTATAATATGTTTTCCATATTTGATTCTTTATTTTTACACCAGAGGAATAAATCGATAGCGAGATTTGGAACTGGTTTACAGAAAAAGGGATTAGGGACTGTTACTATGTATTATCATATCATGAGAAATAAAAGGGTTAATCTGAGTCGGTTGAAAGAAATTACATAATTTTACATTGATCACTTTGTTTAAGAGTTTGCACAATGATGATTGACTTAATAATAACAAAACTATATAAGTCTGGGTCCTGCAATTGGTGTTTGAACACTACTAATTCAATAATGTTTTTAAAAATATATATACTTGTAATTTTGTTGTTGACCAAAAAAAAAAAAATGTATACTTATAATTTTGTTCCTTGCGGCTGCAATGCAAAGAGTCAGAAGACTTCATACCATTTTATGTGTTCTAGATTGAAGGAAATTTTCAAAGTTTGAAATGGCATTTTTCTTGGATAGCACACGGCTTTCGTTCAAAAAATAAAATAACACACGGCATTAAGCTCCCACACTAGTACCGGTTCAACTAAATTGTTACCTAGTTCAAATTCAAATGAAAACACAAAACAGTTTCAAAACAAGCAGAGATTTTTTGACAAGGTTAACATAAAACAGAGATTGTCAAAAGGTTAAATTGCAAAAAAAAACATAAATTTAGATTGAGTTAATTTTCTTGATTTTCCTTCGTTTTCAATCGAACTGCTTATCCACATATCAAAAGCAACCAAAGTGCAAGATGCGGGTCTGGAGTGAAACAACCACCACTTACTGAGGTGTTAGTGGCCTAACCGGATCGTCAAGGTTGAGTATGTGGATGCTCCTCAGCACTAGGGTGGCAAGCATTTTGAAGCCGTTTAGAAAATCTTCAATCTTGTCTCTACAAAATAATATGAAAATTAATACAGAAATGTATAAATTTTAATAAAAAAAGTTACATTTATTAGAGAGAGTGTGTTTAAAATTTCTAAATCTTTTTTGGGTCAAAATATAAGATGTACTTTATTTATAGCCATGTAGCGTGTGGCGGTAGTTGACCATTGTTTTTTTTTTTTTCAGATCTCTTTTTCTGATCATATACTACTAAATCATTTATTTTGAAATAGTAAACATTTTTTTGAATGACTAAATGATGGTAATTAAAGAATACAAAGCAAATAAAGAAGCCGATATTGTTAATCTTAAAACACAAACACACAAAACAAGCCGAGCCGAGATTGTTAAACACAAACACACAAAAACACATGAAAGTTTTTTTTTTTTTATCAAACACATATGAAAGTTTAGTATGGGAAAAAAACAAACAGAAACTAAGATTTAAAGAGAATCTTCTTTTTTTTTGGTAAAAAATTAAAGAGAATCTTCTTGATCCTTGGAGTTCAAAACTTCTTCTTATCCAACGATGCGACCAAGTTGATCATATGATAATATTACAATGATCAATGATGCTTAGATTTGATGTTGATGTACGATGACATCTGAAAAAGAATCGAGCTAAGGGCCGTGGTCTTTCCATATGTATGTATATTGGTCTACATGAAGGAAGTTTGCGTGAAATGTAGTGCATGAAATGGGCTGACGATCTGAGCATGTATGATTTTGTATGGGAGGACTGGGGACAAATGTAAGCCTCCATACATGTATGGGATTGTCTTAGCTACGGCCAGCCTCTAGTTACGAGTTTCTTATGGCTATCACAAGGATGGCTTAACCTAACGATGGTTGAATGTCTTGCATTATTGAAATTAGTGATCGGGTTTCTGTTGAATAAGAGATCTAGAGGTCAAAGAAGCTTAGAGATAAGATTGAATTGGATATAAGCTGTATATGAGTGACTATACTGAGTTTGGGATAAAATACAAAGAAAAATGAGTACAAGAATATTTGAGCTTGGAATGAAGAAAGAATAGAGAGTTCATGAGTGTTTGAGTTCGGAGAAAGTGTTTAGTGTAGATTATCCGGGTTGGAATTTTCATTCTCATGCTCTTTGATCCTAACTCTTCAAATTCAACATCAGCCTCATCATCTTCATCTTCACCATCAGGCATACACCTAATTCAATTGTTATTAATTTAAATATTTAATAAAAGAGTCTAATAAGAATAGTTTTATCTATGTTCTTTGTTTCTTTTTCTTTTTTGGCATTGTCAATGTGCTAAAAAATGTTGGCACAAGAGATTGCTTAATTGTACACTATAAAGTATTCCAAAAGAATTATTTTTAGCATTGTCAAATGTTGGAAGAAGAGAATGTTTTAATTGTGGGCTTTAAAACAAATGGGTCAATTCGACCCTATATTTTCAAGCTTTCGCAAATTTGACCCCATAGTTTCAGTCCACACCACCCTGTGGATGAGTCTCTAAAAAACCTTCACTTTCCTCCGACCTCCGTTTCTCCGGCAATGTCGTTGAAACTCAATACCCCTTTTCCGATTTTCGCGCCATCTCTATTTCCAAATCCGAACCCAAGAGGACCCGGCGAGATCCGATTCTCAAGGTGGGGCAACGCCAATGCGGAGCGGTTCGAGCAGCGTCGCCGGAGCCAAGAGGAGCTCGAGGCGGAAATCCGTCGCGACCGCCGCTTTGACGCAGCCACCTCAATCGTCCATACACACGATTCCGCCGCCGCAGCTTCTGAGCCGAAAACGTCGCCTTTTAGGTCAAGAGGCACTCCTTCACTTCCCTCCGCTCGATCGATTCCGGGTCGGAGATCCAAATACTCCAAACCCGATTCAGGACCCACCAAACCGAAGAACAAACCTAAAGTTCCCGATTCGCCGCCGCAATTAGACGCGAAGCCGGAGGTTAAGCTGAGCGAAGACGGATTATCTTACGTCATCGACGGAGCTCCTTTCGAGTTCAAATACAGCTACACGGAGACACCTAAGGTCAAGCCATTGAAGCTTCGTGAGCCTGCGTACGCGCCTTTCGGGCCCACGACGATGGGAAGGCCATGGACTGGCCGTGCTCCGCTTCCTCAGTCGCAGAAGACACCGAGAGAATTCGATTCTTTCCGATTGCCGCCGGTGGGAAAGAAAGGAGTGAAACCGATTCAGAAACCGGGTCCTTTTCGACCCGGGGTGGGTCCAAGGTATGTTTACACCAAGGAGGAGATTTTGGGAGAGCCATTGACCAAGGAAGAGATTAGAGAGCTTGTTACGTCATGCTTGAAGACGACGAGGCAATTGAACATGGGTAAAAAAAAAGCTCAATGCTTTCTGCTGAATTTGCTTGATTCACGAGATCAATTCTTCTTCTTGATGATCAGATTTCTTGGAAATAGATGAAGATATGATCTAAAGTGTGCTTTTTTTTTTTTTGTCTCTTCTCAGGCAGAGATGGCTTGACTCATAACATGTTGAACAACATACATGATTTGTGGAAGCGACGAAGGGTCTGTAAGATTAAATGCAAGGGAGTTTGTACAGTCGACATGGATAATGTTTGCGAGCAACTAGAGGTTTTTCCTTGGAAGAGTTCTGTTATGTTTATTCATATTAGTACAAATCTCTTGTATTCGTTTTCATGAAGTTGTGAACTGAATTGGCAGGAAAAAATTGGTGGGAAGGTGATATACAGAAGAGGAGGTGTGATATTTCTTTTTCGTGGTAGAAACTATAATCACAGGACAAGACCACGGTTCCCTCTTATGTTGTGGAAGCCTGTAGCACCTGTTTACCCAAGGCTGATTCAACAAGTGCCTGAGGGTTTAACTCGTCAGGAAGCTACCGAGATGCGGAGGAAAGGACGAGAGCTCATGCCCATATGCAAGCTAGGGAAGAATGGTGTGTATTGTGACCTTGTGAAAAATGTGAAAGAAGCATTTGAAGTTTGTGAATTGGTTCGTATCGATTGCCAAGGGATGAAAGGCAGTGATTTTAGGAAAATCGGTGCCAAACTCAAGGTTTTGATCTCTCGTTTAATTCACATATGTTTTGTTATTTCAAATCTCGTGTTTTAAAGGTCTCTTTGCTGAACCACCTGTTGGTTGTGTTGTTGCTCTCGTTCGCAGGATCTTGTTCCATGTGTGCTCATATCTTTTGAAAACGAGCAGATTCTTATCTGGAGAGGAAGAGAGTGGAAATCGTCTCTCACAACTCCAGATAAAAAGGATGATATCCTCGGAGATATCGAAGTTGATACTGCCTTGCCTGAAGGTGATGATGATGAAGCATCGGAGTCACCAAATCAGACGCAGGTTGTTACCCAGAACTCTCCTTTGGGTTCTAAGGAATTGCAAAATGACCAATCAGCTGTTGATATCTTGGCAATGGAAGGCAGAAACAGTAGTTTACAGAGCTCGTCTACAGAAAGAGATAACTCTCTTGGAGATCATCAAGAACCTGAAGAGGAGTCGGAAGAGATCAACACACAAAGCATAGAGAGAGTTCTAAATCTGATGAAACAAGCTGTAGAGAGCGGGAATGCGATTGTGCTTGAAGCTACTGATCTGGATGCAGACACTGTATTTGCAAAATCAGTCGCCTTTTCGAGTGTAGCTACACCGGGACCAGTTTTCCAGCATGGGTTGAGGAAAGAACCAATGGTTAAGAAACAGGAAAACCACCGAGAATTCGGGTACCAAAACCTAGAGGCAAAGACTAGTAATGTTGTGTTTTCCCGGGAAAAAGAAGTTGCAGTGGGAGTGGAAAGAGATGAGAAGAAGGAGAAGGAAGGGTTGAAGAAGAAATTGGAGGAGTTTGATGAAGATTACAGAGAAGTGATACCTCATGGAACACTTAAAGTAGATGAGCTAGCTAAACTACTTGCATAATAAATTCTCTGTATTTTATGTTGTCTTGTAAGTGTATAATGTAGTCTAATTATCATTACCAATGTGTAATCTTAAGAAAGGTATGTATCTTAGATTTACTCTAGATTATTCATGAACAATAGCATATTATAATTCAACTTAATCCATAGTATATGTGTATTATTTTTATTCGAACCGTATTATTCATGCCTCAGTGAGATCAATAATGATGTCACGTCGATGATAGATTATTGCGTTTAAAATGAAACCCAATTTTTCAACTCTCTTCAAATCCGTAGAAACTTCTCCGATTGAAAAAAAAAAAAACCCAAAAAACTTCAAGAAAAACGGCTTTTAGTTTCTCAGATGATGAATCCACCAAAAACAATCTCCATTCTCTTCTTCTTCTTCATCATCATCTTCATAGATTATGTCTCTGCTCAATCTGCTCCTCCTCTGTACAGAACCAACGACCTCTTCAAGCCAAGCTTAGCCATCATCACCGGAGTTTTCTCCGTCGTCTTCACCCTCACTTTCGTTCTCCTCGTCTACGCAAAATGCTTCCAAAACGATCTCCGATCAGAGAGCGACGGTGACGGAGAAGGAGACAGAGGAAGACACGATCGTCTGTGGCAAGGACTCTTCAATCGATCTTCTCGACTCTCCTCCGGTCTCAACAAAACAGCAATCGAATCTCTTCCCTTCTTCAGATTCTCTGCTTTGAAAGGATCGAAACAAGGGCTTGAATGTTCTGTTTGTCTGTCTAAATTCGAAGATGTTGAGATCCTCAGGCTTTTGCCTAAATGCAAGCACGCTTTTCACATCGGGTGTATTGATCAGTGGCTTGAGCAGCACGCCACGTGTCCCTTGTGTAGAAACAGAGTCAACATCGAGGACGATCTCTTTGGTTTGGGTTGTAGTAGCAATAGTCTGAGAATCATGAGCCAATCTGATATAAGAGAAGAAGACTCGAGCTTGGAGATTTACATCGAACGAGAAGAAGGAGTTAATAGTGATGATGGTTCTTCGAGATTCAGCAGTTTCCGGAAGATTCTAAAGATTGGCAAAAAGGAAAAATCGTTGTCGCTTGATGAACAAGGAACCGAGAAACTTATGCACAAGTTCAATCACAGGATCGTTGTTTCAGATGTCGCGTTTAAGAACCGTTGGAGTAACGTGACTTCATCGGATTTGGCGTTTTTGACGTCGAAGATGTTGAATTCAGTGTCAAGCGACAGATTCTCGTCGGTGGATAGGGTTCAGAGAGAAAATGGAGGTAACTTGGGGAACAAGGAAGAGATTGAAATGAAGAGAATGTTGAAGAACAAAGACTCGACGAGAAGAGCGGTTTCTGAGATCACAGCTGTTCCTAGACTCGGAGTTCTGCAAGTGACAACCGCGACTAGAGAAAAAGCGGTTGGAGGAAGCGAAAGCGGTTTGGCCGCTTTTACTGCTTCCACGTCGCAGAATGATGCGGTTGCTGCGACGGAGGAAAGTAGACGGCAGTTATGGCTTCCGATCGCTAGAAGAACGGCTCAGTGGTTTGTTAACAGAGAGAAAACGAATGAGCCAAACACGCCACAACAAAAAATTCTTGATGTATAGTTTTCTTAAAATTTTCAGTTTTGTTCATAGTTAACTTTGAAAGTTTTTGTTGTATAAATTAGGTCAAATGATGATTTTGTCTTTGTGTAGATACATAATGGATTGATTATGATGATATACGTTTATTGAGTTGAATTTGCTAGAATTTCGAGTTTTTTTTTATTAAAAAAAATGATTTTTGCCAAGACTTTGTTTTGTGATACACATTTGTTGATCTTATGTTATGGATTGATGATGGTGATGCACAATTACACACTTGTTGAAATGAATTAAAAAAAAAGTTAGCACAATTGTATAATTTGTTTCAAAGAAATGAATAATGTGAAGCATGATACTATTGTTCGAAACATGTAAACCACTAAGTCTCCATACATTTTTTTATTTTATTTTTAATTAGCAGACGATTTGCCATAGAATCTAATCAATAATGGATTGATGTCTATCTCTTTTTGTTATAAGTCCACTCTAAATTAAATGATTGTATCAACGTTAAAAAGCTGTATAGTCAAAAATGTTGGTACATAGATGAAATTGAACCTTATAATTTCAAAGATGGAAGCCGTCGGATTTGTTGGCCGTAAAATTCTCTTTTGTTTATGACCTAAACAACTGTATGGTTATAATTCTAGAATATTCCTTCTCCAAGTTTGAATACTGCAGGCTACGCCGCCAGAACAAAACAGAGAACTCCTTCAAATCAGAAACAAAACAGAGAATTCCCTTCAGCCATCTAACATATACACCTATTTACACCACACAATCAAAAGAACCTATAACTTTCTCATGAATCAAGGTTTTTAAGATTCTAGGCTCTCTTGTATTTCAGCATCAATGAGTGTTTACAGACCTGTAAAGCATGGACATTTGAATTGAATAGACGCGGGAAAGAGGTCGCGGTTTTGTTGAAAATCTGTTTTTACCATTCTTCAAGCCAGTTTTGAGCATCTTGATCCTCTGTATTGTCCAGCGACTGGGAAGTTTCTAGAGGAAGAACGGTGTCATTCTCAAGATGGTGATAGATGCGCGAGATTATCTCTTGAGGAACTTGAAATCCGCGGGTACTAATCCCTCCCCAGTTAAGTCCATTGAACCAGGGATGTATCTTGATTGACTCGGGACCTTCTTTGCTACCTAACCGCAGGTTTTCATCAACTTCAAGCAACTACGCAAGAGGTTTAAATACGTGGGTAAGACAGTGAAACAAGAGATTCTATCTACTGAGAGCTTTAAATGGATGTGAAAAAATGGAACTTAAAGATGAGACCTTTGTGATGAGATCTTCCGCTTCTGAGCTTAGATCTCGAGGGAAAGTTAATTGGCCTTTAGCAATCTTCTGAAACGTGTCTAGCTCGTTTTCTCTCCATGACCCGAATGGCATTTCACCTTCTAGCATATAGTAGATCAAAACTCCAAGTGCCCACCTTTTCGATTCAACCAGAAAAAAAGGTTCAGAATATCACACGAGAAAAACAGGAGATAAAAACAAGAATGCATAAAAAGGGGGAATCAGTACCAGTCAGCTGCGAAACCATGACCTCTGCCTTGAACAATTTCCGGGGCTAAATAATCTGCATTTCCACAGATTGTAAATGTTCGTTCCCCGGACAGTTTCTTGGAGAATCTGAAGTCTACAATCTACAATAAAAAAAAAAAAAGAGAGAGAGAGATCATATAATTACGATCAGGTGAACACTGGAGCAAGTTATGGGGCCATGTAATGAAAAAACACAGACCTGTAGATATCCGGATTGATCCAACATCAGTAAATCGGGAGATGAACCTCTGAAGAGTATGCCGTTCTACAAATTCCAAAAGAACAGAATAAAAAAATTTCAGACCGCGAGATCTTAGAAATTAAAAGGAGATGTTAGAGACATAGATTTAACCTTGTGTATATCTTCTAAGGCAGAGACAAGTGAAGCAGTAATGAAACGGGCAGATGACTCGTCAAGCGGAGAATGAAGCAGTGAAGACAAAGGACAAGCAAGAGTTGTGTTGAGTAATATGGCTGCATATGTTTGATCAGCACAAGTGCACAAGATTCCAGGAACAAAAGCTGAAGGCTTTATTTCGTTCTTCATCAGATTCCGCTCTTTCAAGACTTGTGCCTCTTTACCTAGCTTCTTCACCTTTTGCTTTGAAAATCTTTTCAAGCTAAGCAAATTTTCTTTATCTTTCAAATGCACGAGCCCGATCTCACTGCAGTCTGTTGAACTCAAGCATGCTGTCCATTCCTAGATAAGAATTTTTTTTTTGCGTAAAACGAGAGAGGACCGATTTGCGATTGATGTAGAGTCAAAGTCTGCTTACCAGGTCTGCAAGGGTGGCTTTAGCAAGAGCTGTGGTATCAGTAACTTTTGCAGATTCCTTGGACATATCAAACGAAGAATGTCTTGACCTAAACAAAAACATTACACAGAATTATTCCACCGATGAAAACCACGCAGCTGAATCCAGAAACAAGTGGCATGAAGAACATTGTAGTATCATACTTATGACCATCATCTGAAAGATTGGTCAGAGGTCCGACCGCTGAATCGAAATTTTCTTTTGTTAAAATCACACAGACAACTTCGCCCACTGCTACTGCTTTTAAAGAGTCTTTGAGTTCGCCAAGAAGAGCCCATTCACCAAAGTAACTTCCTTCTTGCTTTTCTATGGAGACCTCTGTTCCGGTTTCAAGATTCTCATACTCTTTAGTGATATCAGTTTTAAGGCTTGAAGCATTTTGACTTTCCAACAACTCTGTGCCGAAAGTAATTTTCACGAGTCCCTTCTGGATAACATACAGGCCCTGAAGTTTTTCGTCCTATTCATTCACAGAACAGTATGAGAAAGAATCTTTTGGAGTAGAGAAAGTTAATTATCTTTACAAAAAGCAAAACTAACTTCACCAGTTCACCTTGTTAACTATTGTTTGTCCATCGGAGAAGCAAGCGTCGGAAAGAGATTCTGCAACATGGCTTAGTTGCAAAATTGTAAGACGGGAAAGAAGATCGACAGAACGAAGAAGCTTCAAAGATGCCAAATTTGAAAACTCAGACATCAGAATTCCTCGAAAATTTTCTCTTTTCAAGGCCCACAATGTTCCATGGTCCACAGCACGTACAGAAGCCTGAAGCGGCTTGTTATGCCTGGCGCCATCATATATCACAAGAAACTATATTAGCCAGAGAATATTTCTTCATACGGAAAAAAATATTACTTCTAACAAATAACAATACAAGTGCAGAGAACCCACATCAAGGCGAGTTCACCGAATGATGATTGTTTCTCAGCTGTATACCGCTGCAAGATCCTAGGCACGTCGCCGTTCTTTTCATCCTAACATAACAATCCCCACCGGTTAAACAGAGTGTTAATAATGCTCAAAGCTGATCACAACTCTGATCAACTTACTATGGAACAAACCTGAGTTGCCAAGACCTCGAATTCTCCACTACCCACTACGTAGAAGCAGTCCCCTTCACCACCCTGCAAAAGAATAAACCAGCGAGATTGTGATAACAGATGTTTATTGATATATGTCATTTGCAGACTCTGTGATCAATGAGGAATAAGCTTCGACCTGTTTCACAACAACATCCCCTGGATTAACTTCAAGCCTTTGCATGCAATCCAGCAAAACCTGGCACTGAGATTCAGTGAGTTTCCTGAAGAGGAAATGGTCACGCAACACCCGCTCAATGTGTGCCTGCAACAACAAAAATTCCAGCTTTTAGCCTCAGATGTCAAGAATGGCTTGAGGCATTCCCAATTGGAGGAGCAAAAGCAAAGCAGTCATCCACTCTTACTTCTTCTTCCCAGGTTTTCCTATGGGCTGGAGATGGAGGAACCCAAGCATGTCCATTCTCTAGTGAACTCTCAATGGCGCGTATTCTAGCCCGCGATAAATCATGCCTCACGCGTTGGTTTTTAGAGTTCCATCCAAAGGTGGAAGGAGATTCCGAACCTGTCAGCTCCACAACTTGTGGAATAGGAGGCTGCAATTGAGTCCCCGTACTCGTCAACTGGCGAGGAGCATCCTAAGAAAGATTCAAAATCTAACCTCAGCATCTAACAAAGATAAGAAGAGATGATACACAGTCAACAAACAGAACCTTTCCTTACATCTTTCAGCCCATTAATGTGCACGACAATGATGGTTATATCATCTGTACGAGTTTCATACTGTAGCCATAGCCTATATGATTCAGCAACAATCGCAGCACAAGCATCTCTAGGATCCTTATGTTTTGCAACCTGAAAAAAAAAAAAAAAAAAAAAAACATTCAGATTTTGTGAGACTTGTCCCTCTACTACTAAGGGAACTATAGTGAGCAAGACCGTGGAGGGAAGAAATACCTTACCATGTCAACCACAGTCTGACTAGAGATGAACTCGAAGACACCATCACTAGCAACCACAAAGAAAGGATTATCCGGTGTGAGCTCAACAACAGCAATCTCAGGGTTAGCAACAACCCCAATTGTCTCTGCAATAGAATCACCAATACTCCTTGTAAAAGCAGTTCCTGGGTACATCCCATTGGGCACCCAAAGTCTCGGAGGGTCTCCATCATCGTCTTCCTCGGTACCCCAACACTGAACATCAGGGTTTTTCAAGCCTTCAATCTGATCAAGAGTAAGAACTCTAGCTCCACAAAGCTTAACCCTTTCCAGCTCATCAGGTCTAAACGGAGTCTGATCAATTGACAAATCAACAGCAACAAGATCACCTTCTCTCCTCTCAGCTAAAACCGCCCTCGAATCACCTGCATTCGCCACGTATATCGTCCTTCCTCTAACCATAACAGTAATGGCCGTTGTTCCACTCATACTATCATCTACTACATCAGCATGTAACTGAGAATTCGTGCTCAAGAAGGCCGAATTACAAGCCTCTGCAGCGTCGACACGAAACCTACCATGTCTAAGAAGATTCTCGCACAGCCTCCGCTTCACAAACTGCGAGCACTGCGCACCAAACTCGCCATGCCCATCGAAAACCCCAAAGAAGTGATCATCCGAGTTGCTCCCAAAAGGCGTGTGAATCGCGAAGCTATCTTGATTGGCCTTGTCTAGAGCATCAGGGTAATACCCTCTTTGGGAGAGAAACGAGTATCTCAATTCATAGTTACAAGACGGGACCTTGACAATCCTTGACCCATCTGGTGGTAGAAATTGAGCAGAAACCCTAGAAAGCCGAGTGATTCCCCATTCCTGGTCTCTGCTCAAGCTCAGCTGATGAATCTCGTCGTCGTCTTCATCATCCACTGCATCTGAAGAGAAATTGAACACCGGATTCTCTCCCTCGGTCGTCGCCGCCGCCGCCGCCGGAGTCGCGGTCGAAGCAGCTTTCGTGCCTCTCGCCGGAGCCTGTTGATGAGTTTGCCTGATGCTGTTTTCCTTCGTCGCGCAAATCTGACCAATGCAAGTTTTGGAATAAGCGCAACCCATCACTGAGAGAGACGAAGACAAGGCGAAACCCTTGGAAAGCTCAACAATCAACGAATCGGAAACTTGAGAAAAACCGTCGGAGAGAGTAACGGAAGTCCAAACAGTTTCTCCAAAGGCTTCCTCACTTTCCGAGAAAACAAAATTCGAAAAGATACAAAGAGAATGTCGCTTGAAAATCTATTGAAGATACTGAAGAAAATTCCTTTTCAACCGATGGAAATGGAATTAAAAAAAAAATCAATCGGAAGATTATAGATTCGATGGATTAAACTGAAACGTACAAAACTTTTCAACGGAAAATTGACAGCAATAGAAATCTCGGGGGGAATAAAAAAGAATCCAGATAACAGAAAAATTTGAAATTGAAGAAATCGCGAAACACAAGTTCTCGATCTACTTCAAGTAAGAACCGTTGCAGCGAGACGAAGGATAAAATAGAAATGTATTAAGGGAATATATTAAAAACCTGCTTAAATTTTTATTTTGTGTGTGTGTGTGCTGTGTGTGTTACAACCAATCGAATAGCGGAAAAGCAATTGGATAGAGTGTAGTTAGCTACGCTTTTGGACTGATGACAAATTATTATCTTTACATCATTACTTTTTGTATGGTGCACTCTATTTTAATACAGGTTCTTATATTCTTCTAAACTTATAAGAGGCTTAAAAAAAAAAAAATTAGTTATCTATGTTACTAAAATGTATTTATCTTTTTGAGTATTGATTTTGAGAACTCTAAAATTAAAGATGTTTAAGCTGAAGCAATTTCAAGATAGGTGATTTATCAGAAAATAGTTCATAGTACCGTATGAAAACAAAACACGGGAAAAGATTATGGGGTGATTGTCGAGTATCAGACAATGGTAAATCCACAGACCTAGAAAAAGATCAATCATCGAATAGTAGTGAATCAACGGACCTAGAAAAAGGACATTTGATCCTTGAGTGAGGGCATTGGGCCTTAGAATGAGGGCGTTTGACTCACTGAAATAAACAGTTAAGACGTTAGAAGTTGATACGGTCGGTCCGTTTGATTCCTAAAAAAAAACGAAATCGGAATATCACTATTACGGTTGTCGCTCCTTTTTCTTATAAAAACTATAGTGTTTTTTTGTTAAGAACAAAAGATTATAGTTCTTATTGCTAAAATGGACAAAAACAAAATCAGTACAATCTAGATATTAGTTTTGTATATAGAAAATTTGCATAGAATGTATATATATTGTAATTACTAATTAGAATGTATTTATAATGTATATGCATATAATGGGGATTTTTCTTTGCAAATATTAATTTTTCTTATTATGACGACCTTACCCAAAAAAAAAAACTATTTTCTAATTTGGTTTATCTGTTCTTGTTTGTTATTTCAACCATGTCTATATATTTTTTTAATATTACGATTTTGGTAAAAGAAAAACTTAAAAAAAAAAACTAACTGTAGTGTGTAAAAAAAAAAAACTATAGTCTATAACGTACACATGCATTCTATGCACTATAACATTCCATGGAAAAACAGAAAAATCTAACAGACATCATATTAAATATAGAGACGACACTTTACAAGTGAGGAAAGATATTAGGAAGAGAAATGAAAGGGCAGCCACGTTGGGGCATTAAATTTAAATAATAATTGATTAGATAATAATAATGGTAGTAATACGTCAAGCCTTTTGAGGTTATGAATGCGAAATGGTCCCTCACGAGTCACGACCTAATCTCATTCAAATAATATTTAGCATTGCATCGTGTCTCATTACCCTTTCATTGCTTCCCAATTCCCATTATTGTTACTTAATTATTATTCCACTATTCTTTATAGCTTTTCCCCATTAACCTAGCTATTTAATTAGTTTAGAAAAAACATCAGTACCCTTTCATTGCTTTTGTACGGTACTTCATAATAATATGTTGGTACTTTTCCTAATGAAACAGAGACGCCAAAAGGTTATATTTAATTAATTTAACATAATATTAGTTCAGCATTTTAGTGATCTAATTATATTTGCTCAACCCATACAAGCGTCCAAACTTTTCGTAAAAGAATTTCGATTCAAACATCTAAAATTGTATACCAAACCAAGATGTAAGTAGTCTAGTGACGTTTTCATGATTCCTATGAAAAATGTTGAACCATTCTAATTCCTAGTTCGAACCTATCGTCTTGTTTGGGAGAGACGCTAATTCTTAATAGTAGGTTTGAGTCCGCGCTTCGTGCGGATTTTATTTTATATGTTTTATATATTATTTTATAAAAAGCACAATATATTCTGTTAGTTATCATTATTAGTGTTTCTATATAACAACAAATTTTTCTTAATTATTGTTTTTATTAACTTCTATTAATATTTCTATGTATATATATATATATATATATATATATTTCTATTAACTTCTAGATTTTATTTATGATCTACGTGTTACGCAGAAATTTATTTTTTAAACAGTTAATTCATCATATTTATCTTTTTATTTTTTATTAGACTCATTATTCATTTTTATATTATCATAGTTTGTTAGTTTCATTTTTGTTCTCCTTTCTGATTTTCAACATTTTTGTTCATATATTTTTTGAAATTCTTTTTTATCAGCTTTGTGTTATTTTTCCTCATTTTCTTTACCTTTCTTTTTTTTCATCTTCTTCGACTTCTATTTCTTTCTTTTTTTCCTTTCAGTTTTTTTTTATCTTTTTCTGATTTTAGTTTATCTTTTATTTTTACTTATCTTGTATATGTATTCTTCCTCGTCTATTTCGTCATATGTATACTTTTCTTTATATTTTGATTATTTCCTCTCCCTCTTATTTTTTCTTATTATTTTCATATTCTTTGATATTTGTTTTCATCATCGTCTTTTTCTTTAACTATTTCTACTTATTATTTATTTTTTCCAGTTTTTACTTCTTTTTTCTCGATAAAAATAATTTTTATAAAAATGTATGAATTAATTAAGTCATTAATTTTAGTACTAATATTTTTCTTTTATTTTTTTTAAAAAATAATACTTTTTTAAAGTGTGTGAATTAATTGAATCATTAATTTTATTTTTTTCTATCTTCATATTGTAGTCTCTTTTCTCATCATCAACGTTTTTATCTATGTGTTTTTCAAAATTGCTTTTCATCATTTTTGTTTTTTTCTTCTTTCTATTTTTTACCTTTTTTTTCATCGTCTTCTTCATCATCTTCGAAATTTCATTTTTTCTTATTTTGCGCTCTTATTTTTTTTTTGTTTGGTGTATGTATTCTTTTTTTTTACTTCGTATTCATCTTTGTCGTCTTAATTATATTTTGATTTTTCTTCTTTCTCTTTTTTTTTTATTTTTTTTCATCGTCTTGAACTTTCTTTTATCATCTTTTTTTTCCTAATTTTTCTTTTCAGTTCTTACTATTATTTTTTTGATAAAAATATAAGAATTATAAATAATGTATAAATAATAATCATTAATTTTAGTAGTAATATTATTATTTTTTTAATAAAAAATAATAGTTATTAATGTGTGTGAATTAATTGAATTATTAAATTTAGTTTTCATTCTTGATGCTGATGTGAACACCCTAGATGGAGAGAAAACTCTCTAATTATATAATAGATTAGAATAACTCAAAAGCTGGTTCCTACAAAGTAAAATTATATATTTATTTGGCTACACGTAAAATAATATATACAAAAAGAATTTAATCATAAATGATAATATAGATTCAATCATACAATATCGGCTTATTTTATTATTAGACCAATAATCTAGAAGAGAAAGAGCTTTTACATAGGAAACAAAAAAATAAAAATAAGAAAACTAAAAAGCTACATTTGATGAACTAGTTTTTTTTTGAGAACCAACATTTGATGAAATATTGAAAACAAATACTATATGTTATAAAGAATTTGATGGTCGTTATTCTAACAACATGTATAAAAGATTGTAAATGGTGATCAAAAGTGTCGCAGTTGTGCTATTCTTAATAACACGGCAACTACATGCCAGAGTTGAAAACCTAAATTAGAACTTCAAACATAATAATTTCATCGAAAAATAACAAAAATATTATACATTCATTTAGTAATTGGTATATAGTAAAATCATATGTGTTTATTTTACCACCATATTTTTATCTTTAATGGTAAGTTATCTCTCGTGACAAAAAACAGGGTATGTTGTCTCTTAACGTAATGGTTTGCTAATTTCTAACCAACCACAATTCAAAGATGTATTGGGCGCCGATTGTTATTATATAGATGTAACCACAAATTTTTTGTAACAAGGGTTAGATGTAAGCCTGTGACAACTTAGAAAGGGCTAGATGTTATGTATGTATGTAAGTATGTAATCATGCATATTAAATCCTAAACCTTATAAAGACCCAAAAAACCTTATCCAAAATTTCACGTCAATCATTGAAGATCCATCTCATCAATATCTCCGCCAATCATGTATATATTTAATATCATTTCTATCGTCTATAGCCAATAACAACTCTTTTAATAAAATAAAAAAACTATTATTAACTTTTGACTAAAATAAGTTTATCTCCTTTTTTGGCAAAGACTAGAATAATTACATGTACTTGAAATTTATACCTCATTATGGTAAATATATATATATATATATATATAATTTGTTTGTCCTTAGTCTTTTTATCCCTCCGTGAGAGTTCAAACCCAAAGGATTTTGGTGACTTTATAAAGGATGAGCCTATGCATGCATCAATTTCAAAGTGTTAATATTGTTCAGTAACTCAACTCACTCAACTCCAGTTAAAACTCTTCTTTCTTCAGTCCAGAAAGTTCTGGTCCGACCTTTCATTGAATGTTGATAACTTGATACAATACTTTGATTGACGTATATGCTGTCTAGTTATATAGTTATAGCTACAACTACAGATTTATGAACCTAAAATGTGAATTATAGTTGTAAACGTTATAAGAGAAAAGTAACAACCACATATAGCTCAAAGAAATCAATTATTCGACATTCCAAAACTTTACAAGAAGATTAATAACTCTTTGACTGGATATGAGTCATAAGAATTTAGCTATACGACTATGTAGATCAATTATGTTGTCACTACAAAAACAAAATAATGTAAAAAGATTGTTGAGTTTTGAATGGAACTATATACGATTTTGGTGGGTGACAACTGACAAGATGCATGTACAGGGAGATAACAAAATAGCATTAAGCCCATAACATGTCGGAACAATATTTACCAATACAATTCTATGTTTAAATTTGTGTATTTATTAATTTATATAGTCAAATGTAATTTATACAGTCAAATTTTATACTATAATTAAATAAAAAAGTATTCCGATCCCATTGCCTCCCTCCTCAGTCCTCACACACAAACATACCTAAGCACATGTGAATATGTTTTTTGTTTGGGCGAAAAACATTCGATGAGATCAAGAAGCCACGTAATTTGGACACATATATAACTGTAACACTTTTTCTTTATTATTGTTTGGTAAGTAGAACACAATAACACATGTTACAATTATGAACTCTCTTTCTTGCTTTATGCAAGTTGCCACTGAAGCTATTGATACCTCCCAATGGCTCGATTCACATTAATAGCACATCATTTTGCTTAACCACATCAGACAAACAATCAAAAAACACATCAAACAATTTTCAAAAATAAACAATTACAACGAGAAAAATAACTGTTCGGTCCTCCCCTGATTTATAAAGGAAAAACTCTTTTTTGGGCTACCGAATTAAACAACTTCTGATTTTTAAAGTGAGGGTTTCTCAGTCTTTTCTTTTGAGATTCTCCGTTCGACTCTATTTTGATCTTATTTTTTCTTTGGGCCTACAAACGTTTTATCGCTACTCGTCACATGCTTTTTTTTTTTTTTTTTTTGAATAAAATGTTAAATTATATTCAAGAAAAAAACAAACGTTTTTACAACTTTGATCCAAACATCTTCAACTTAACAATAAAAATTTTAGTTTGAATCTTGTCTTGTTGAGAACCAGGTTCTCAATCCTTCCTCGTACTTCATTACGCCATTGCTTCGGATCAAACAGAGCTGATTCCGGATATTTCTATCCATCATCTTCACCAGTTTATGTGTTGTTGAAGGTGTAACACCATGCCTTCGGTTGTTCCTTTCCCTCCAAATGGTATGGACTGCAATTTGGAATGAGTATCTCACCAGGTACGCAGTCGTCTGGTCGCATAGTGGGTTGGCAAGTAATTCAGATACATTTCCCCAATCGTTAACAAATTGCTGCCTAAGTAAGCATTTCACCAACTTTTCCCAGATTTTTCTAGAAAACGGACAGGAGAAAAATAAGTGATCTCTGGTTCCAAAGGGATCGCTGCAGAGCACACAACCAATATTTGCACCCACGTTCCAAGTACTCATCCTTTCACCAGTAGCCAATCGATTTTGAAATGCAAGCCAAGACATAAACGAGTACTTTGGAGTAGATTGAGAAAACCAGACTCCTCTGTACCAATTTACTTCTTGTCTTGCAGTTCTGATTTGTCGCCATGTTTCTCGTGTGTTAAACAGTGCTTTGTAATTGCCGTCTTTTACTTTCCACAACCTTACATCCTCTTCATTTATTCTGGTTCTCCTCTTCTCATTGGCGTCACAGGCTGCTTAATAGCTTTCGAGTCGATTCAATACCAATTGATGTTTTTCTCTTTTTTTTAGTCATAAGACCAAGCTTTTAGATTGATCGATTGTTTCACACAATTTGTAACACCTAAACTTTTTTATTTTCAACTAAATATTTACAATTTAGCAAAATAAAACTCGGATGAGAAAACTAAAGTCGGCGACTTTGACAAAATCTGATATTGATTTATGGGCTTATTACCTTTATACATTTTAGGTTTATAGCCCAAAGAAGATCCGAACCGTATTGCAACGACCCGATCCGTAAACCTTCCCGTTTAATTCTTTTCACTGAACCTCTCGAAACCTTGATAGTCGCCGTTTTCCTTCTTCGTCACCGCCCATCATCGCCGCTTGTGACCGGTGAGTTTTTCTTCTTCTCTTAGGATCGATGTGCCCATTAGAAAGGATATGTTTTTTGTAAATCTGGGTTTTTGGTTTTTCTTTTCTTTAATCGCTCTAATTAGCCTTTGATAGGTACTGAGATTATGTGCACCATTTCGATTAGATTGCTTCTACTCTCTGACATTTTTTGTTTTTCCGATTAATCTGAATCTTTTCATTTTTTTTTTCTCTTACGAGTATTGAGAAATTGGATTTGGTGTTGTAGATGAGCAGCTAGGTTTCTTCTATCGGCATCACTTTTTATTCAATTGACTCAAAGGATATGGCTGCTTCAATCTCAAGAAGAATTTTTCGCAGTTTTGGATCATTGGCAGCTTTTGGACGCAGCGGTTCACCGAGTACTGTCTCAATTTCAAGTGATAAGTAAAAATTCAAATTTTGTTTTTTTTTTTGTCTCTCATTGCTTCTCTGTCTCATTCGAACAGATTTGTCTGCGAATGCATCTGGATATGGTTTATGCTCTCTTCCTAATGATCTGAAGGTTGGTGTTTACATCACTTGCATTGAACTGGGTTCTATTAGCTACTTCACTGGTTATCTTCCTTAGTATTTCATTTTGTTTGGAGAGGTTGATTTAATTTTTGTTGTCAATGCAGTATGGAATGGGTTTACTTTCCAACCGAAAGCTCTCCACTTCTATTTTGACTCCTGATTCAAGTGATGATTCATTTCCTTGTGGTTTACTTACCAAAAAGACGGTGATTACACCAGACCGAACCATAGGTATGAAGTAGTTAACATTCACCGAACTAATTCCTATCTCGTGTCTCTTTCATGTTGTTTCCTGAGCTTTTTGTACCTTTTGTGAATCTTGGAGTTTGGTTGGGGGAAACGGAGAGTGAGTAGTGGTGTTAGAGAGAAATGTGATAACTCTGTTTTTAGGAAGAGTAATTGATCTTCAAGCCTTGCGTAGCTTATTACATGAAAGGTTAACACAGATATGATTACCATTGTTCTGTTTGTTCCTACTTCTCGTGCTTGAGCTTGAGACCTGATCAAGTCTCTGAAAAGTGGTGTCTTCCTTATTGCTGGTCTCGTTTTATAATTCTGGACAAGTTTTCACTGGTTGGTATTGATACTTCCGCAGGACAATATCAAGACTTGGTCATTCCGGTGACAAATTTTCAGAATGAAGACAAGGGTTTCATGGTTTTAGCAGGTGATGTCTTTGATGTTCCAATAAGGAAAGATATCATTCACAATGTTGTGAAATGGCAGCTTGCGAAACGCCAGCAGGTTACTAACGAATTGTGTCTCATAAGTCATAATGCCTTTAATTAGTCATATAAGCAAACAATCAATAAGTCTGACACCTATGGTGGATATTATTCAGGGAACTCATTCGACCAAAACAATATCTGAGGTAAGTGGAACTGGTAGAAAGCCCTGGAATCAGAAGGGTACGGGTCGAGCTAGACACGGTACACTGCGTAGCAACCAGGTAACATCACTCTTGGATTTTATGCTTTCTTTTCACCAAACTGTTTTATTCTGATGATATTTGTTGCAACCATTAGTTCCGAGGTGGTTGTATAATGCATGGGCCCAAACCGAGAAGCCATGCGATAAAGATGAATAAGCAGGTTCGACGCCTTGGACTGAAGATAGCACTGACAGCTCGAGCCGCAGAAGGAAAAGTTAGTTTCTTTCTCTTATCACTCATAACCTTATGTTCATGATTTTTCCATAACCATGCCTTGTTATAAACCGGCCTGATCGAATCCGCTGATGAGAGAGCTGAATGTTTTTGGGAAAAAAAAACTATGCAGCTCATCGTGTTTGATGATATGGTATTGCCAACACATAAAACGAAGAACATTGTGAACTATTACAATCAAATGGAGAACACAAAGAAAGTACTCGTTGTAGAAGGTGGTCCTATCGATGAAAAGCTAAAGCTAGCAACCCAAAATCTCCACTATGTCAACATAATTCCATCAATAGTAAGTTACCGAATCACATATCGAACTTTGCGGTTTCATGATAAACTGGTTAGCGAATCTTGAATCTTGTGTATGTAATGCTTTGCAGGGGCTTAACGTCTACAGCATTTTGCTCCACGATACGCTTGTCATGTCCCGTGATGCTGTGAATAAGATCGTTGAGCGTATGCACACTCCTATTAACCGTTAAAGTGATGTCTTAAAACGGCATTCTCAGTAAGAAAACTAGAGATCACAAGGAAGACAGTTCCAAAAACATTCAACATGTAGTTTCTGTACCGGCAATGACTAGCCGGTTCATTGTTAGCTTTTGGGTCTGGAATGTTACAAGATTGAGTTTTTAGATGATGTTCCTCTCTGTTTTTACGCAAATCTACCCTTTTCTTTTACCGTTTTGAATATTTATCAGGTTTTGATGGTTTAGAAAGAAAAAGTTCTTATTTACTTAACAAAAAACTAAAATTATCTGACAAATTTTAAAATAAACACTCTTTCTGGACTAAATGTGCTTTTAAATGTTTGTTTTACAAAATTTGATATTTACTCTTGATTGTTTGCTTATCTTTGATTCCTTGGATTTATTCAATTCTCTCAGTATCCTACGTGATAAGTACTTCTTCGCTATGTCTTTTCTCGATGTTAGCTTTCAAGTTTCAAGTGTGGATATTTGGAAATTCTTTTTATTAAATACCGCTGATTTTGAAAATTCAAGTTCAAAATCAATACGAAAGTTTTGGAACAAGAGCGTGTGTACATATTATACACAAACATATTTATACAGACATAAACCCTACATTTATGTGGTTTAAAAATACAAAAGAAAATTTTCCACCAAAAAACAAATATATATACATAGAAATTTCTAGAACAATTATAATGGCAAGCAAGAGAGTCGCATCTATGGTCAGTGACTCAGTATTCTTGTTATCATCCTCAGAATGTCAGGTAAATCTCTTAGGTGATTGTAAACAGATTTTAATTGTATTTAAGAATTTGAATGTATTTTAAACAGCTACTGCGATATTAATCTTCTTATATAGGTCCAGTGTGTGTCCTGGACTCCCTGGAGTATGTGGATCTTTTGTTAAACCTGACTGCAATGGACTCTGCCATGAGTTAGGGTTTCCTGCAGGAAAAATATGTTGCTGTCACAAAAAACATCTGGATTTTTTGATGTACCAGCTACCACTTAAATGTTTTTTTTTTCTCTTAATTTCCTTCACTCTAGAAAAAAAAACAAAACTTTACATTTGCATTATGATGTTTACAATCATGTGCATTTCTTTATTTAGATGTATACATCGTCAAGAGCTATCTATTCTTATAACGGTCTTTATTTTTCTCTTGATTTATTTGTATTAGATGAATACCCGCGTATACACGCAGGTGTTTTGTTTGTTTTATATATATATTTTAAATTTCTATTTTTCAACAAAATTAACCTATTTTTATTTTTGATAAAGAAAATATTATCCAAATTTGTAAAAATATAGTCATTTTTTTTTCCACAGTAAAAATATAGTCATTAAATGTGATTTTTTTTGTTTTAATATAATTTATTAATAGACATTTTTTTATAAGTTTAATCTAATTTTTTGTATTTGGTAATATGAATATCATATGAACTCGTAAAAATGTAGTCATTATTTTTTGTAGATGTAATATTATTTATTTTTGCACCTAACCAAATATATCTTCATTATTATTTTTCTCAACCTGTCTTTTTGTTTGTTAGTTAATTTTTAATGATAAAAATATGTATTTTGTAAGACAAATTTAATATCTTCACCAAATCGTATTTTGCTTTCTGCCCGAGGACTTCAAGTCTCAACTCTTTGTCCTGGTGGTAGGGTTGTCATCGGTGAATATGTCTTTATACAAAGAAAATAGATCAATGTCTATGTAAACAAAACCAGAATGAATTCAATACAAGAAATATAATACAGTTTTCAAAAACCCATAAATCAAAGAGGAGGCAAAGAATAAAAAGTTTTACCTATTGATTTGTGGAATTTTGAGTCGATATTAAAAAGCATTGGAGATTGTTTGAGATTCCATCTTTCCAATTTCCAAAATAAAATTAATTTGCAGTTTATTATGAACCATAAATTGATATGTACTCCCTCTGTTCCTAAATAGATGATGTTTTAAGATTTAGTATTGTTTCACAAAAGATGATGTTTTAGAAGTATTTAATGTTATTTTATTTATAAATTAAAAAATACTTAATTTACATTGGTTGTAAGAATATCAAATTTCTGAAATAGTATTGAAAAGTGTGAATAAAGGTTATATATTTATTGAAAATAGCAAAATAGTTTAAAAAAAAAACAAAAAGTAATTAATAAAATATGTATTTATTGCTTCTTAATAAGTGTGAAAATACTAAAACATCATCTATTTAGGAACAGAGGGAGTACTTCTCTTTCGGTTTTTGTGTTTAATTAAAACGAAATTAGTATAATTTAATTGTTTAATTTTCTCATAATTTTTTTTAATCTGATGTGTCAAAAAAATGAATGCTGATGTGTCAACCTTGTGAAACTCAACTGAATCTTTATATAATAGATTAATGAGTTAAATCAGGAACGATTAGTTTAAGGAAAAAATCCCTTTCTATATAAAAAGATATCATAAAGAAACACAATAAAAATCAAACTTGGCTGACATGTCATCGTATGAGTGATTTGAGTTAATTGTATGTGTTTTTTTGTGTTCTTCAAATAAAATAACACCAACACTACGTTTTCGATATAACATCTAATTTTTTCAATATTTTACAAAACGCCAATATTAACTCTTATGAAATATTGGTGTTTGAATGATACTTGTGAATGATGATAAACTAAAATTAGTCACAAATTTTGCTGAGTGTTTATACTTAAACATGATAATTAATAATTAGAACCAAAATTCGAAGCACTATCCGATCACGAAAAAAAAATCATGACCCTAACATTAATTGTATTCTTATAGATTTCTTATAAGAATAGTCATCTCTATCTCTTTTTTACTGTTTATACGTTATTTAAACTCAAAAACGTCAAAACTTTCAAGTTAATAACATTTCGACTAATATTTGTTTGGAACCAAAAAATAAACATACAATACAAAAATGACCGAGTGTAACATTTGTTGGCAAAATTAATTTGGCTTTGGAGCCTCCCATGATGCATAGCAAGCATATTCTATAAACCAAAAATCTTTTAAAAACTATCTTTTAATTCACCGCTCAAAATGTACAAAGTACAGTTCCCATTCTTTATACCTTTTTTCTGCTGAAACCGTCAAACAATCCCTAAGAAGAAATGAAATCTGATAACCCCAGATCGAAAATAAGTAGCTCTTGTTGCTATAATTTATTTTCTGCATAACAACAGAGAATAAAAAAAAAATATATAATCACAATGCACGACTTCTTTTCAGTTTTATGAAGATTAAACTATTACAAATTAATGATCAAAGTGACAATCTCAGTTCCAAATCCAACTCTTGATTGTCACTCGATCCTGAGTTCTGGTTTCCCGATCCCAACGATTTACTTCGCCTTGTTGAACTTGGATCCTGTTTCAAGACAAACAAGAAATTGATTAGCTCACTTATATTCAAATCGACTACACTTTTAACAAGGTTAGTTAACCAACATTTAAATATGACATAACTACATTGAACCACGGTTACACTAAACTAAGATAAACCAGAAATTTCAGTGAAACAGATCCTATTTCAAGTACAAAACAAGTGGATCCTCCTTCGAATTTTTTTTTTTTAATAATAAAAGTATACATAGACTATTAGTCATGTGATATATGAAAATGTTAGTAACAATTGTACGACTTCGTTTAGTTATTATGCAAGATCCTGTGAAACACTGAAACTCTTTTTGTTTGTTAACTAGCTATGACATGATGAATATATATATATATATATATATATATATAAGTGAGGGTATATATAGAATAAGAAATTTCGCACAAAAAAAAAAGAATAAGAACCTCGTGTAAGAAATGTCTGGTGATGTTGGGTTCCAAAGAATGTTGGCTCTCTAAGATGCCGTAGTTTGGGTTCCAACTGTTTTGAACAAAAAAAACAAAAGGTCATTTTTAAGACCAAACCAAATATCCAACACAAAACAACCATAAAATATTTATAAAACTTAAAGGACAGTGAAAAGTGATTTTGGTGATTTTATATGTACCTCATGGTTGCTCTTTCGTACTGATCTCCATGTACACCCATCTGCCAATAACAAAAAAAAAAAACCTTTAATAGTTTATATTTAAGTTTTTTTTCTCATATTTCACATTTGCATCATCACTGCATGATTATTTGAAAAGAGTTTTGTTATAGAATGACTGACTAAATTTTTTATAATTTTTCATATGTTATAGGGATTTGAAATAAACAGTAAATAATTAATTAGATAAAGTTAGATTACATATCCAAGTAATATACTTCTTTAAAAACACACGCACACACACACCCAATATCATGTATAACCGCACACATATAGAGCCTAAGGAAAATATATACCATCATGTTTGGATAAAAGCCATAAGGAGTCGATGTTGGTGATGATGTTGATGCATATGTAAAGGATGGTGATGAAGATGGTATGGATGAATATCCTCCTTGAATCCTCACATCCTCCTACATTCACATTTACATATGACGGTTTAATTAACATATATATTATACTGATGAAAAGAATCGAATTAGATAGATTAAAAATATAAAATTAGTGATATATATTTCATAACATATAACTTTCTTCATGTACAACAATTTACTTGACAAAGAACAAAAACAAAATGTCTTTATGTATATCTTTAAAAGTGAGAGGAGTGCCCTCGTGAACTTAACAACGCATAGGCTATCAACTTATATGAAATCTATTGTAATCAAGATTTTAATCACTGATTTTACCTATCCTCGCGCCAAGAGTAGATAGTAGATTCACATATATATAGGTTTCTTTTCTACTTGAACCCAAAGGAAAAACAAGTTTATTATCAAGATTGCGACTAGTACATTTAATTATAGTTGGTGGATATGTTAAATTGAAAGATAAATGAGTTTTGACCTGATCGAACATGGTTTTGGGTCAAGACAAGAAAAGAGAAGAAGATATGTTTTGTGGTTTTGCGTTGTATTTGATTGTTAGATGATTTAACCTAAATCTAAAGAACATTTAGGTAAACTCCGATCACCCCTTTAAATTTCATAAAATCATCTAAAGTTCACGAGACAATTATTAAAAGAGATCCGATAACCCGCATAAAAAGAGTAAAAGCTATGAACTTGTACCAGATTTTTGAATCAAGGTTATGACACAATATACCACTATG